GACGGTCCCGTGGCCCAATGAGGGCCCCGAGGGCCCGTCTTGATTTTGTCGAGGCGCTGGATGTCTGGAAATCCTGCTGTCCGCTTTCAGTGTCCCGCGCAGGGAAAAATTTGACTGGACGAAGGGGTCGGACAGGGAAGGGGGGGGGGTAAGACATCTGCTGCATGCAGCTGGTTTACATTCCTTGATGCATGGGGTGCCTCCTGGTGGCAGGAGGCGCCAGGAGAGCCATCTGCGGGAGCCGATTCTCTACCCTGCCCTTTGCTATCCTACCCTTGCGCCCCCCCATTTTGACAGAGCTTTTTGGCGAAAGGTCCAAAGAGTCCTCCTCTTCCTCCTCCTTCTCCTTCACTCTTCCTTCTCTCCCTCCCTTTCCTCCTCCTCCTCCTCCTCCTCCTCCTCCTCCTCCTCTTCCCTTTCCTCCTCCTCCTCCTCCTCCTCTTCCCTTTCCTCCTCCTCCGCCTCCTCTTCCCTTTCCTCCTCCTACTCCTCCTCCTCCTCCTCCTCTCCTCCTCCTCCTCCTCTTCCTCCTTTTCCTCCTCCTCCTCCTCTTCTCCTCCTCCTCCTCCTCCTCCTTTTCCTCCTCCCTTGCCTCCTCCCCCCCGACCCCCGATTACCAGCAGCTGCGCCCTCGAAGCCGGCTCGAGGGGCGCGCGCCGCCCTCCGGGCCGGGCCGCGGCGGGCCGCGCGCCCGCTGGGGCGGGGCGGCCCCGTCCTCGCTGGGGCGGGGCGGGCCGCGCCGCGGCGTCGCTGCGCGTGTGAGGTGGGGCCTCGGAGGAGGCGAGGAGGCTGCCATGCCAGAAATGAGGGGCAGCGCAGGGGGACCTTCTGGCCCATGTCCAGAAACCGTCATCATGGACCCTGACACTGGACGCATTGATGCTCCATGGCTACAAGTTAAGGGGTACGTTTCGAAGACGAGTGGAGAACCTGCTCGGTCCAGCACGCGAGGAGGCTCGGTTTGCAATTCGGTGGCGAGCGAGGGGGGGGGGGAAGTGAGGCGGAAAAGGCCTTGTGAGAGGCCGGCGGGGCTCCTCAGAAGTCCTTCTCGGCCTTCCGAGAGGTCTTCTGCGTCTTCGGGTAGGGTGTAGACAACCTGTCAGAAGGCTTGAGGACGTCCGAGCCTTCTGAGAGGGCTTTCTCCTGCTCGCTTCCCCACCGGGCGCGCCGCCGTGAAATGCATGGGGGGTCATCCACGTACTTGCCTTGATTTGGTTGCTGCCTAGCTTTCGCTCTTTTCTCTCCCTCCCGCTTCTCCTCCTTCTCGCCGTTCGACTGCACGGAACCACTAGTTATATTGGGTGGGGCTGCCTTTGCATTCCGATGTGTTCGCCTGCGGGGCAGGTGATCCTCGCTTCTTAATACTGCGCCATTTTTTCTGTGCCAGCAGTCCATTCAAAAGAAACGGTGCAACTTCAGGGGGGCGAGAGGCTCAGGGTGGATGCATCGACCTCCAATCGCCACCAGATCGCCGACCGATGCGGGCCTGATGGCCCGCCCTGCCCAGGCTCGCTAACGGGGGCTGGATGATCGCCGATCAATCAGCGATGTGTCGTTGATTTTAGGTCGGGAGCGGCACCACACGACGGACCAATCGGAACCCACTTGTACCAAGCCCAACCGTCCAGGCCACTTCCCAATCGGCCGAACATCGGACGAGTATCAATTTACAGCCTGCCGCCTCAGGATCTGATTGTGGAGCGTTTCAGCACAATTCAGAAGTCGAAAGCATTTCCTAGATGAGTATTAGTTCTGGAGGCAATATGAACAGTTCGAGTTGGGGCCGCTTCACGTGCTTCCGTATGAGAGTTGAGTAGTTTCCAATATGAACAGCGGTCATCAGTCACACTGGAACGTTATGGTTGTCGTATGACAATTGTACATATTCCATGCGACAGCTGTTTGAGGTGTCATTTTATTTTCATATATATATATATTGAACTTTCATGTGAGGGTTGTATCGTTTCTATGTGAGCGCTGCGTGGTGTGTTATCAGAGGTCTGTATAGCGCTCATAAGTGTTATGTGGACGTCCATCATAGATTTGTGTTCTGCAACATGCGACGTGTGTAGTATTAATATGATATGGTACACATAATATATGATATATATATATCCTTTTGCGCATCTTGTTACCAGGTATGGTTCTCCCTTCATCTGAGAGTTGTCTCGGGTTGCGTTGTTGTGGAAGTTGTGCGGTTGTCGCTCGAGAGAGCGTAGGCTTCGTACGGTGCTCGTACACTATACAATTCATTGATGGGTTCTTTGGATCAGAGAAGTGTCGCAGTTGTCACATGATGACTTGTTCGGCTTCACTGGAACAGCCACCTTGATTTTTTGGCGTTCGCGAGAATTCAGTATAGTGTTTATGTGAGAGATAGATGGGCTCCCGCACCAAATTAGTGTATAGTCCATTACAGATGTGTGTATACCCCACACGGGAAAGTCAAGGAATTCAAACGATGATGATGTGCCGCATGAGAAACGTTTAGCTTTCATATGGGACTGGTGCTTTGGTCGCATTGACAAATTGCCTGTAAGCATCTCCTGGGGGGTCCTCAAGGATTTGCCACGGATCCCCGAAGGATCTGCCAGGGGCCCCGTAAGGATCTCTCAGGAATCGGCCCTGAAAGGATTTCGAAGGAAGGCCGTACAGATCTTCCCGGGGCCATGTCAGGATCTAGAAGGAACACTTGAACAATTCGTCCAAGACCGTTCGAGGCGGTGGGGATTTGTGCGTGCAGGGTTGGAAGTTGCGGGAACTGGTTGGGCTTCGTTCTAGTTGTTTTGTAATTTGTCCCCTTCCCAGGCGGCACCTCCACAGAGGGAGGCGGACTGCTGACAAGGCGGGGGCCTCTTGGGAGGTGGATTCCTTCCTGGAGGGGTGCGGAGGCTTTTGAGAAGGCTTCTCAGAATCGAGGAGCCCAGAGTTTCGATTATTTAATTTTTCCAGTCGGGGCTTTTCGTCGATTTTGACCTCTGGGGCACGTTGCGATGGGTCCCCGGGAACACTGGTCTCGAAGACGGGTCTGGAGCGCAACCTTGGCCTCGTGGAAGGGGTCGGGGTTTCTAGGGACGCGGATGGAGAAAATCACACCAGAGGATGTCAGGGTCTCGCAGTGAAAGAGCGTCTGCGGCACGTCCGTGTTCTGGGGCGGCGCGACAGCGACCCCAGCGTGGGCCTGTCAAGGTTGGGCGCAGTTGGTGTCCTGATAACGTCGGATGTCGAGCGAAAATCGCGTTATCGGAAGGCCGCGGTCGCGCAAAGTTGACCGATTCAGGCAATATCAGAAACCAGCGCGCAAGTTGTCATGATACGAACTTTTCGTAGTCTCCGCAGATCTCCCCCGTATGGCGAGTGGGGAGGTGCTCCCCATGGCATCCGCAGAAATATCATACGACGAACGTGGGTGTGGGTGACATGGAACAGCTAGAGCCTTATAGGTCAACTTCAGCGTCGATGATGGGTGTGAAGACTCGGTTGTCAATCGTTTTAATTTGGTTGGTTGTGTATGTGTATGTGTATGTGTTTCGTTGATTGATGTGTCATGCTGGTTGTGCTGGTGTTTGCGTTTGTGTCAGTGCTGTTGTTGTTGTTCTGCTGTTGTTTTTTTTGGAACTTACCGTTATATAATGTATTATTGATCACCCCCTCCGGTAATCATTCTATTTTTAATAAAAGTGTTTTTCGTGGGGCTTGGGGTCGTCCTTTAACAAGGGAGTAGTGTGGGGTCATCAAACTGTGTTGTTGGGCCCCGGTTTCCTGAAACGACGGCTCGCGCTTCATATGTCCCCGCAGTGTATTCACGCATCGCGCTTTCGCGCTGGACTTCCTTGCAATTTGTGCAGGAATCGCGCTCTCGCGTGGGACTTCCTTGTAATTTGTTCAGGTGCCGCGCCCTCGACACTCAGGAGTCAAGCTCTCGCTGTGGATTCCCTCACGATTTATTTGGGAATCGTGCTATCGCTCGAGACTTCCTCGCGATCCATGCAGGACGCACGCTTCAGCAACCCCGCTGCCCCTTAGTCTTTCCTTCCGTCCGTTCTCTTCTCCGCTGCCTTACGGGCTGCACGAAATACACGTTCCAGATAAGAAAGATATACCCCTACAGGGGTAGGATCGAAAACGAAGAGGGCGGGTATCGAGGGTTGGGATCTACGAGTTGCATAGCGCGCGAGCATCTGTGAACGGTCAGTATTAAAAAGTTTATTGGTGTTGTTGTTGATAAAGGCCGGGCTTTCGTCCCCGGGCGGGAAGGAGGGGATAGCAAGGCAGCAAGGCACAAAATGAGGTCTTATATCGTTACCATGCCGTTCCTTTATAGTTTTGTCAGCATTATTATAAAATTCCAATCGATTGCCTACGAGGCGCCATGGCACTCCGTGCATTTCTTTTACCCTCGGTACTCGGTCTCATTCAGTTCCCGTGCTGCCCCCACGAGTCCCCGAACTACTCATACACAGTCCTTCTCGAGCCCCATGCAACCCCCTTGGCCATCCCCATAGTGTCCCCAGCCGTTCCTGTACCATCCCTAGCAGGCCCCATACAATGTATATACTAGTCCCATTGGGTCCCGTACCGTTCCTCTCCCAGCCCTCTACAATTCCTTTCAGGTCTTTTATTTTGCCCATGCACTTCCTAAGTAGTTCTTGCCCGTTCCATACATCCTCTATACCAGTCCTATCTGGTCCCATGCCGGTAGCTTCCACAGACTTTCTTCACCATCCTTATCAGGTCCGATACTAGTTCGAACATCTCCTTTCTAGTTCATATACCCGTTCTATACGGTCGTGGTTAAAGCCCCGTACCATGGCTCACATTTAAATCAACACATCCCTATCAGTTCCGTAGAACTCCTGTATCAGTTCTAGTCGGTCCCGTACAACTTCCATGCCAGCTAAATGAGGTGCTATAGAATTCCCATACCGTTCCATCAGGCCGTCCTTTGAAGGTGCCAAAACAATTCCGTACCATCCGTAGTAGGGCCTTTTCCATTCCTTTACCATCGCGACTAGGTCGCACATAATTTCCTTGCCATCCCTTCTGGGTCGCATACACCTTCCATACTCATCATATGTCCATACAAATTTTAGACCGTCCCTTTCAGACCCCATGCAGATGTCAACCCATGACTACCAGGTGCTATACCAATTCCATGCTTTCCGTGGCAGTCCAAACGTGCAGATATGGCTCCGGCAGTGGTCCAGGCCAAGGCTCCCTAGGGATGGTGGATCGATTACACCATTGCTCCAGAGGCCTGTGAGTGGATCACCTCGGGGGCCGCGCAGGGTCTTCCGCTGGCCCCGCGTACACAAGGGCTGCTCCGTCTCCCTCCCGTCTCGGTGCCAATCGTACGGTGCTTGCTGCGGGGAGAAGAAAACCCCCCGGCATGAAGCTTGTCGAGTGCGTGGCCCCAGAGGGCCCGACCCCTTCCCTCTGGGACAGTCTTTCGTCCCACACCCCGGGCCCTGTGTTGCGCCCCAGGGGCCGAAATCGAGAAACAAATCCCGGGCTGACGACGTTATGCTGGCGGTGATCTGGGCCTGCTGCGGGTGCAGCCAACACCGTTCACCTCCCTTTCGCGTCCTCCCCCCCTGCTCCTCGGATGGGGGCCAGGCGTCCATGGCCGCGTCCAGCAGCCTGTCGACGCCGCGGGGGGTGCGGTCGGGCACAGTGAGCTCGCCCTGCCCGATGACCCCCTGTACGCCCTGCACGCCCACACAGCCAGTGTGGCAGATGAAGTGCGACGCGGCGCACGCGAGGTGCCCCCCTCTCCTTGCGGGAGGGCGGGGCCCCGTCATCCGGGCGCTGCATTTCTTGTCGGTTTCGGGGGCCGGGCGTTTTCGCTCAGCTCCGGGGCCCGGGACGATCACAGATCGACTGGGCTCGAAACATGCCGCAGAGAGAGGGTGTCGAGAGCTCTGGACGGATGAAAGAAGTGAGCGAGCGGGCGCGCGCGCGCACCAGCGTCCAGCCGCGAAGCGACTCGTTGGACTACACGTAAGAGTGACCCTTCGCTAGTAGCGGTACTGTGGCGGCGTTCGTCAAAGATGTGTCCAGGAGGTCTCAGACCCCAGAGGAGTCTTTATCCATTGAGCGCCGCAGCGGTGTCCATGGCCAATCCACGATGAGAGTTCCACTGGCTGTCGGACCGTGGGCTCCTTATGCAGTGGTTCCTTATTCGCTGCTCTCACCGTGGTGGCTCTCCTGGCCCTGGCCCCACTGTGCCGCCTCTCCTTCTCCCTGGGCTTCCTTCGGTCATCTCGCACTCGGCCTTCCCGGAGGCCCGCGCGCCGCCACACCTGGGGCAGAGAGGCAGTCCGTCGGGTTGGGAGGACGGGGTTTGGGAGAAATGATCACATCGTCCGCGGTGTCGCAACTCGTGAATGTGTTTGTGACACAGTCGTGCCCTGTATCTTCCCAGCCTCTCCCTCCCAGCGCGATACTATTTGCCTTTCTCACGGGGCCGCCCTCGGGGCGCCGGCGGGCTCGTTCGTCGCTTGTTCGTTCCTTCACCTCGGCCCTGGCCCCCGCCGCGGGCGAGCGACGCAGCAGGCAGGGCCGTCCTCTCGCCGACCTCGGCGCGCGAGAGCTCCGCGTGTAGGGTCCCGCGCCGGCCCCCTCGTCTCCTGCGCAGCGTGCCTCGCTGGCGGAGGAGGAGGAGGAGGAGGAGGAGGAGGAGGAGGAGGAGGAGGAGGAGGAGGAGGAGGAGGAGGAGGAGGAGGAAGGAGGAGAGAGAGGAGGAGGAGGAGGAGGAGGAGGAGGAGGAGGAGGACGCTGCGCAGGGTCGCTCTCATGCCATCTCCCGCGCGAGGCCTGCCCTCGCTCGCCGCGCTCAGAGGTGCCCCTTCCCGTGCAGCTACGCGCTGCACCAGAGCAGCAAAGGCGAGGACCGGCTCGTGCTGGACTGCCGCGGGCAGAGCGCCCTCTGGGCGGTCTTCGACGGCCCGACCGCCCCCCCCCCGGGGGGCGACGCGCCGCCCGCGCCGCGCGCGCGGGGGCCGCTCGCGGAGCGGGAGCTCCCCGCCCAGACCCCCCTCGCGGAGCCTCCGAGCCTCGGCGTGCGGTGTCGTGTGCAGCAGGCTCGGCCAGGCCGTCCGTGTGCAGAGGGCCCGGTGCCACAGCTTTTGTGCTTCGGATGCAACCCCCGGGAGGTCGAGTTCTGATTTTGCCCTGGTCCGAAATCCAGCTCAATCCGGGTTGAATCCCGCCTAATCCGGCTTAATCCCGCCTACTCCCGTTTAATCTGGCTTAAGCCCACTCCGGCGTAATAGCCTCCCAAATGGGGCTTCATCCTCCATAATTCTCCCGACGAAAACTTCCCAGTGGTTGCCTCCTAGGTTTGCGTGAGAGGGTCGGCTGCCGCCGGAAGTCTGCGGAGCTCTTCGCCCCTGAGTCGAGTTTCAGTGGCCACTGCTGCTGGGTCTCCATCAGAGAAGAAGCCTCCCAGACTCCCGACGTCGTGATTCCATCGCAGCGTGGGCCCCTGGAGGTCTCGACCCCCCAGGGACCAGTCTTTCATCCCGAGTGGTTTTGTGACGGTCCGGGCGCCCGATAAAGGGCCCCCCTGAGGCCGAGAATGGCCAAAAGACTTCCGTCGCGTTCTTTCCACGACTCGAGGGGGGTCGGGGCTGCCTGGTCCCTTCCTGGAGGCCTCTTGCCGTTTCGAGGCGTCGGGGTGGCCAGGTGTTCGGGGCGTTGCGCGGGCCCTGCGCGGGGCCGGTGCGGGGCCCGCGGGCGCCCACAGGGCACGAGCAGCGGGTGCGGCGAGGTCATTGTCACGAGCGGTGTCGGGAGCTCCAGGGCCCCGCCCCCAAGGCGGGGTCAGTTCGAGGGTGGGAATTTTAGCATTCTCTTGGGTTTTTTCTTGTTGTTTCTCAGTTTTTTTTTTTGTTTGTTCTGTCGCCTGTGTTGGGCCTCTTGGGGAGCTCTCGTTGCCATGGATGGATCCGCATCGAACTTCTGGTCAGGACTCACCCTGGAACAGGTCCGGGGGTCGATGGAGTTGGCATCTCTTCACCGGCGGAAGGCGGTGGAGCTAAAGCGGGGCGGCTCCGCTGGCGGAAGCCGGCGGAAGACCCAGAAGCCAGCGGAAGTAAAATATGCCCCCCAAGAGATGTCGACATTTTTGGGTCGAGGGTTTCCAGAGTGATTAGGTTAAAGGCGCCGATGACGATGATGGTGATCACGCCGGCGACGATGGTGGTGTCCACGTGTCGGTGATGAAGGCTTTGGAAGGATTTCGATGTGCGCACGCGGCCGACGGGCGCGACTGGTACGCATGGTGTTGTTCGACAGGGATCGTGCCTCCTCAGCAAGCGCGCAACCGCGAGCGAAGCATCTCGGCATGCGGGCGCGATAGGCCTGCTTGGGCGCATGCGATGGATATGTCGAACAGCCTTTGGGTTTTACTAGGGCTCGCAGTTCCTGTGAATAGTTCCGGCATGCGCGCGACGGCGTGCGTTAGTGGACTTAGTGTTTTTTTACAGTGCAAGGGTCTTTCCTGAAAACTGACGGTTTTTGATGAACGAGTATGCGCGCATAGGTTGATGTGGCAGAAAGGGGGGATTGGGGGGCGATAAGGGTTCCCCCCTGTGACGGTGCGAGCTCATATTTGAAGTGAACGATGGGCACAATCACACGTACATTGTACTATCTCACGGATGGTGGAGGGAGGGGTTGTGGTAGATCTGGAAGTCCTTTTAGGAAGGAACGTCTATGTGGTGTGAGCTATTTGGTGTAAGTTATGTGGTGTAGACTAGGTGGGGCCAACGTGCTGGTTTCGGTGCTGTGGGCAATGTGGTGCAAACCCTGCGGTGCAATCTATGTGGTTCGATCTACGGGATGTTCGCTAGGTCGCGCAACATATGTGGTGCAATCCATGGAGTGCGATCTATGTGGGGTAAGCTATGTGGTGCACCGTGAATGGTGCATCATAAATGGTGCAACGTGGTGCTGTGCACTACGTTGTGCAACTATGTGGTGTGAACTATGTGTTGTGAACTATGTGGTGTAGACTATGTGGTGCAACCTGTGTGGTACGAGCTACGCGGTACACTGTCGCAGAACAATGCGATACAAAGCAGCGTAACGCAAATCAGTGTAAACCGGTGTAGACCGATGCAACGCAAGCTATTTCAATGCCAAGCAATGCCCGAACAATGCAGAGCAACGCAAAGCCATGAAGACCGATGCAAGTCAAAACCGAACCAGTGCGAAGCACTGCAACGCGGGCGGCGACGAGGCGGCGACGGCAGCCACACGGCGGCCAAAGCGGCCCCGAGGCGGCGACGGCGGCCACATGGCGGCCAACATGGGCCCGCCGGCCCAGGCGACGGGCGGCGACGAGGCGGCGACGGCGGCCACACGGCGGCCATAGGGGCCCGCAGGCCCAGTTCCTTAGAAGACAGGTAGGAGCTCCTAAGTGCCAGCGCTTTTTGGGAAACGAGTGCCGTTCTCCTCTCTCCCCCGAAGGTGGCGGGTGAGTCGCCCACCCCCCTTCGTGAACTGCTTTTTGGAGTCGGCGCTCTGCTCCCGTCGTTCAGAACCGCACTCTTGCCCCAGCGCGGGCTTCCTTTCTGGATCCGAATCTTTCCTCATCGTCGTCGCCCCTTTCCTTTCCCCTCCTCCGCCTTCCCCTGGTCCTCATGCTCCTTCCGCTTCTTCTGCTGCAGCCTCTGCTGCAGCTCCTGCTTCTGCTGCTGCTGCTGCTGCTGCTCGTGTTCGTCCAGACGGTTCCTCCTGCTCATCCTCCTGCTCATGCGCCCTCTCCTCCCCCAGTGTTCGCATCCCTCCGGCTACGATTGCGCATGACACGATGGGGTCCTTTTGTGCAAATCCAGGTCCGCTCTGACACGCGTCGGAAGACGGGTGGGATGGGTAGGATGTCAGATATGGCGCTCGCGCACCTTGACTGCTCCTCCTGTCCTTTCCTCCCTCGCCCCGTGCCCGTGATGCCCCGCCCCGCCCTTTCCCGTGATGCCCCGTGCCCGTGCCCGTG